GTGACAAATTGACATGTTTTAAATGATTGAGGTTCACAATCAAATTAAAAGTTTTGGGCTCAATTGAAAGAATGTGATAAGTAAAGGGAGGCCGTTGCTAAATTGTGGCCTAATTATTACCTTGCGCGCCAACAAAACCCCCACCCGTCTCACCAACAGACAATCGTCACTATCATCTCCACCTTCCCATTACTCAGAAAATATTTTTTTGATGTGTCTGGAATATCATTCAGTATATCAAATGTTATAATATAAATAGTTGAATATTTGAAAAAAAAATTAACTGCTTGTATCTTAGCACTTAGTGTATCGAGACATGTTACCAACACATTGAATAATTTCTCTCATTATTCATAGGGAAATTTTTTGAAATGTCATATGAACTTGTACCTATTTTTTACTATGTCATATAAACTAAAATTTTAAGCAATTTGTCATCTCACGCGGACTCCGTTAAGTTTTTCATCTAAAATAAGTCATGTGCGAGACTTGTGTTCAAGGTTATTTCTATCATTTTAACACCTCACTTACTTCTATTAAGTTGCATTCGTCAAAATAAGTTTAGAGTGTTCAGTTTAGTATGTCATGAAATCAAATTTTATACAGGCTCTGCAATATGAGAAACCAGTTGAGGATTGGTGTCGGAAATGGAGATTTAGATGCATATACGCTGTTCGAACACAACGATCCGCATAATTACCTTCGAACACAAAAGGGTTTTACTAAAGAAAAGTAAAGAATTTGTAAAAAGATATTAAATGACAAAAAAAACCTTGAATCACATGACTTATTTTGGATGAAAAAACATAACGAAATTAGAGTAAGATGACAAATTGATGATTTCAAAAGGTTAATATGACAAATTGCTTAATATTTTAGTTTATATGACAAATTAAAAAAGGTGTATAAGTTCATATGACATTTAAAAAAAATTCTTTGTTCATATTTATAAATAAATAATAAAATAATACCCCAAAAAAGATAATTTAAATGTTATTTATTTTGCTATTTAAATAAATAAATTTCGTGTCATTGCTTCTGAGAATCACGTTCATTGAATACCAAAAAGCGAATACGCATAAAAGGAGGAGGAGGAGAGGAGAGAGAAAGCGGAGGAGCAGCGAGGAGGAAGGAAACCCTAGAGCTTCCGCTTCTGGTTTTGGGGTTTGGAAAATGGGGGATTTGGAGAAGCAAGAGACGGTGCTACTGAAGAAGGCAGCGGAGGAGGCGGAGGGGGAAGAAAAGGAGAGGCTTTTGGAGGGAAATGGAATGGCGGTCGTCGATTTCGACCTGCTCTGCTCGACGGTGGCGCTGCAGACCCAGGGAAAGCTGGCGGCCAAGCTCCAGAGCTTCCCCGACGTAGAGGAAGGCGGAGACGCAGGGGACTTGGGTGGCGTCTTCAGGATGTGGGAAGGTGAAGTCCTAGATTGCTTCGATGACCGTCGTGTTGCGCTCGAATCCCTCTGGTCCGTATCCCTCTCTCCCTCTTTTCCTATTTGGATTCCCGGAAAATTTCCCCATAATTTGTTTTCCCGAGAAAAAGTTCTAATTTTTGCTATAAAGACGATTCCTTTTGTTTTTGGTTTATATATTGTTCAAAATTCGAATAACTGGGGAGCCAAAATCTCTCATTTTTTTTGACTTTTTTGTTTCTGAAGATGCATATTTGCTGCCTGTCGTTGAATTATTCAAAAATAGTCAAAGAAATTAATTGGGTCAATGTGTTTTTCTTTTTTTTTGTTGAGAATTTGAATTGCTTGTTTAGTTTGACTACTCGTTGACTAATCTTTGCAATGTATTTTGATGTTTGCAGTTGCCCATGCTATAGATTTGGGAAGAACATGAGACGAGCTGGTTTCGGTCCTTGTTCGTTACAGGTTTGTGATTCTATCCCTTTTGTGATTGCTTTTTTTTATGTTAGCTGTGGAAAGGAGAATTTGAGGATGTTTTAGATTGAAAACTATTGAACAACCCGTGTACTTTCAGCTCGTTTTGATTCGAAGATTTGGATTTTTGGGGTAAATAAGGTTGTTTTAGGTAGATTCTGAGTTTCGGTATATTGTTTCGCAGGGAGCTCTTCATTTGATTCTTGTTGTTCTTGTCCTTCTCAACTGCATTGCCTTCATTGTCACCAAGAAGCACTGCTTTCTATATTTGGCGGTTGCTTTCACCATTTCACTAGGAACGTATTTGGGGTACTTCCGAACACAGATGAAGAAGAAATTTAACATCAGGGTAAGCCTTCTCTCTTTGTCTATCGTTGTGTCCGGATTCTTACCTACCGGTAATATATGTTGTTACCTGAACTGGTGTTTCTCTTTTCTTTCTAATATTAGTATTTGCCTGATTGCTATCTCTTGCTAATTCCAATTAACAATGTTAAAGTCTTATAACGTAAATGGTTTTTCAAGGAAGAAAAGTACATTAGGTGTAGAAAATACAGAAAATGTGGGTTAGGTACGGTAAACGGTTTGCTATTCCCTTCTCGTGGAGAGGGTGCTGTTACTGCTATGTTTTCCATCATTGCAATTGTAATGAGTTGTTTCATGAATATATGGTTTTTCTAATTCATGCCTTCTATTCGTTTTCTTTCATGGTTCTACATGAATTGCGTTAACATTGTTGCGGGCAATGCTGTTATTTTCAGGGTGGTGATAGTTCCTTGGATGATTGCATCTACCATCTCATCTGCCCATGCTGTGCATTATGTCAGGTCATCTTTCCGGATCCTATGCCTACAAAACAGTTGCTAAAAGTTTAAACTAGACATATGGTTTAATCCTTGATTAAGCTTCTTATTTCCGGAAACTTATTGATGGTATTCTTACAATGTGAGCAGGAATCCAGAACATTGGAGATGAACAATGTCCAAGATGGTACCTGGCATGGTCGGGGTGATACGATTTACATAGGTAGCCTTGGAGAAGGTGCAAAATCGTTCTTTGAGCTACAACCGCCTCCGATTGTCTCAATCAAATCCCCTGACCCCTGCAGCTTGTAGAAAAGTACAGATTCTTGTGAACATCCACGAGTTTAATAAGCTGGGCATTTGCCGTTCCAGAAAGTGGCCACAGCTATGATTGGAAATCGGACTTTCCATTTGATTTCCTCCGCGAGAAGGATTGTTATGTCGTGCCATCGGGAAGGCAAACGTTTAACATTCATGAGTGCCGCGGTCGCCATCGTGAAGTAGAGCTGCTTGAAATTCCTGCTCCACCTTGTAATTGCTATGTTTTCAGCTGCGGAAGGTGTAAATTACGTTATGAAGAAGATTTCATTGATCCAGGTGGATAATGGTGAAAATGTAATTGTACATACATGTGCTGGGGTTTCTTAGATTGATCCCCCATTCTCTGGATTTGCTTGTTGTAATGTTGTTTATTACATATATTCTTGTTCCAAATTGAACCACTTTTATGTACTAAAGATGTGATTGTGATATCAAAATGGAGGACTTGAAAATTGACGGTTCTAATCAGTGAAATATAACTTGGAGCAGACTCAAAAAGACGTTTCAAATAACGGAAAATTTGACGGTTCTAATTGTTGAAATATAACTCAAGAGGAAACCCAAAAAATTGACGGTTCTATTGAAGGCGTATCTAACTATAAAAAAGTAGAAATGGCATACAAGGAAGTTGATGGTGGATGCTAATGTTTCCCAATACAAGCGATATTGAAGGAAAGAAAAAAATGAACTTGAGATATCGAGTTGAGAGGAAAATTGAACTCGGGATATCGAGTGCATGAATGCTCTTAGTCCTCCATACTGCATAATCACATGATTAATTAATCAAGGACATTGAGAAAAAAATCATAACAATAGCAGCATGTGATACACAATCCAAATAAGTTGAAATTAGTCATCAATTAATGGCCACTAAAGTCTTACTCAAATGATTAATTAATCCTAATTTGATTAAGCCAGCAGCATCATGAATCATGATAGATCATCCTCTTGATCTCCAGCTTATACACAATTTGGACGCAGAGAATGTATTATATAATATTAGTAAGACTAAAATAGTATTAGAATAGTATTAACGTTGATTATTTGCAAGTAGTAATCAAAATCCCGGTGCTTTAATTAGTTTTGAGATTCTCTCTGGAACCTACGAACTGTCCAATCTGAGGCATTCAAGAGATGGAGAGATACCCAAACGTTGGAGAGAGATTGTTTCTCAGGTAGACCAATGAGCTTGGCTAATAGAGACCGTATAATTTAAATTGAATGCTTTGAATTGTTCGATCTGCAAGTTCTGAAATGTGAGATCCGAAGAGGATCTCAATCCCTTTCATTGGACTCACATATGAAGTTCAAACTTGATGGACTGTGTTGTCATCTTGTACAAAATGTAAATGTAAAGATGCTTGAAGAAATTTAAAGCTCAACAATTTTGACCAGTATTCCATCTTAAAAACTAAACTGAAATATTACATGGTCTTCAAAAAACTGCAAAGGTCATGGTATTGTTTGGAACATGGTTACATCAATTGACCAGGACAATATGTTTACTCCATTACCCTTAAGTTTGAATCCATTTTATCGTACACTAGAGTATTTGAGAATATCGTCTTATAAAAAAATTAGAGCGTTCTTAATGAGTTATTTTTGCAGACGTGTCAAATTGTAATATGAAGTAAATACGATCTTTACTAAAAGTAAGCTAACGAGTGTTGAATTATATGAGAAGATATCCTCTTCAGATCTCTTCCACCAAGGTCACCGGACCAAGTGATCCGGACCTTTGAATTTTCATCCAATGTCCCACCTGCTTTGACCCCTTAAAATATCCAAAGAGGATCTCTTCTCCAATTATAAATACTCGTCCTTTTACACGTACGACTTATTGTGTGATCAACATCATCATGACATGATTGACTTTGCTATTTGTATTGTTTATATCAAATTAACCGATATGATACATTGATTACATAAATACTTTTATGCATACCTCTTCCCCTCGATCTTTGCCATACTCTGTTGTCCTAAGATGATCCACACTCGCTAACAGTCTGCCCGGTGCGACACCGTAAGCACATTGGGTACGGAGGCGGCAGAGAACTCACTGAATCGGAGATAGAAGATGGCGAAAAGGACTCAGCGGTGTGAGAAGACGGTAGCTGTGAAGAAGGGTCCATGGAGTCCTGAGGAGGATCACAAGTTGGTAGCTTACATTCAAAGATATGGAATTTGGAATTGGAGTCGGATGCCTAAACCAGCTGGTAGGAAGCAAATTTGAAGTTTCTTAATCTTTCTATCTATATTTATGCGTATTTGAGCAAAATTTTCATTGATCATTGGGTACTCGCTCGTTTGGGATTGCTTTTAGAAAGGTACAAAGAGCTTTCAGACAACCACGAGCGTTTTTAACGAACTGACTACTCTTCTTCTGCATTTGTTTTAGGTCTGGCCAGGTCCGGGAAGAGTTGTAGACTTCGTTGGGTGAATTACCTAAGGCCGGATATTAAGCGTGGGAACTTCGGCAAAGACGAAGTGGAAACCATACTTGAGTTGCATCAAGCAATAGGAAACCGGTAAGGACTTAAATCTAACCAACACGAAAGAAAACAGAATGGTTATCAAACGGACCTTACGCATAATTCGTCGTTTTTAAGCAACTTCTGCAGCTTCATAAGAAACTGACAAGTTTCCTAAAAGATTTTTTGTTTGTTATCTTTCTAGATGGTCTGCTATTGCAGCAAGGCTTCCCGGAAGAACGGACAATGAGATTAAGAATTACTGGCACACCCACATGAAAAAACGCTTCAAGGCGGGGATTGAATCAGTACACGAAGAAGCAAAAGGGTCCGGTGACAAGGAAGCCAGCAAGAACAAGTTATCTGAAGCTGGACAACTCTTTCTTGTTGATGAAGCTACGAAGGTAGCATCATTAAAGTCGGAGGCAACTTGTTCAGCTTCATCGAGCGTATACTTTCCCGTTTGGGAATTCGACGATCAAAAAGGCCAGATTGCAGAGCAAAGTGTTTGTGCATCTGATGTCACATTTGGTGAGCTTCAAAGTTTGGATTCTCAAGTGTGGCAGCAAGAGCCTATATTTCCATGTGATTCCTACATTAATCATGTCACCAGTGATTACTGGGTCAGTTTAATCGATAAAACAGGATGAGTTAGATTAATTAAAAGTGTTTGAACTTTGAATAAGCGGAAATCGTAATGTCTTGTGTATTTGGATGCTTAAGTACAGCAGTCAACTGTTTGTTCTTTTGCTCTGACTGTATTAATTGTGTCATGCATATGTGTAAGTAAAAGTTAAATAATCACCAGGTTCGAATCCACCTTTTCATGGTTTAGATTAGATTAATTAGTATATTGTTAACATGAGACACATTACAAACTTCAGTTTGCTTTAATGTAGCCCAGCAAGCAGCTAGACATAAAAAAAGAGCAAAAAACATTGGAATTTGCTTTCATTGAGAGTTGAACTCAAGACCTCCCGCTTACTAAACGGGTGCTCTAACCAACTGAGCTATGAAAGCTTTGTTGTCATATTGCTATTTCCATATATATTATAGGTTATCTTGAGCAAACACAGGCAACGGTATCCTCCAGCTGCCGTTGGATTGATGACAGTTGAGAGTCTGAAACTGAGATCAAAACACCCACTAACAGTTTTCACAAAAAATGTCTGCAGATTCCGATGGAAACTTGACCCTTCTCTTCTCTGAGATCATCACTGGAACCCCACCTTCCCAAAAAATGACTTGCATTTTCAAAACAAAGCGAGCTATTTTACTGAAAGCAAAAGCATGGCTTTCAGGGATTTTCTGCTTCTCTATACCAACAGTCTTCGTTCCTTGTGTTTTCCGACGTTTCCTGCAAATGGGGATCCGAAGTTAAACCTGCTGCTGTCAAAGGAGATGCAAGTAAATCCGTGTTGTTTGATGCGTGTAACTTGGCCAAAGAGTTGAAGAAGATGAAAGATAAGAAATGGGATCTGATGAGTGAAGTATGGGTGGAATTGCTCTCGTATACTGCAGGCCATTGCAGAGCGAACGATCTTGGCCGGTTATTTCCTTCTCCCTTCCCTCCTTTCCCCTCCTTTCTTCCTTTTCTGATTGGCACCCTCTCCCCCTTTTCTAAATTTTATTTATAGGGGTGTGATATCCACACACCCTATTTTACTTCTTACACACCTTTTTAATTTTTGACCGTCGGATCGGATGAATTGAAGAAGATCAACGAATAGAAATTATCAAGAGGTGTGTGAGAAGTAAAATGGGGTGTGTGGATAGCACACCCCTATTTATAAAGCCTTTAATTTCTTCGTTTCAATTCCAATTCACGAACGATTTTCGCCTATGCGCTCGTAAGATTGAGCTATGTCCAATTGTACTTAATGTGACATCGTAAGGCCTACAAATTTTTAACGATTATTGATCAAAATTTAAAAAACGTAATTAGTTTAATTAAAATTAAAATTTAATAAAACTCATATAAATTCTTGAAATAATTTAAAATCTTACTAATACATAATACTTAATTTACACTAGTGAAATCCAGAAGCGGGATTTCACTTAATGACTTTGATACAACCCACACTCTGCTTCTTACTCAATGTAACAATGAAGGATGTATTTCTTGTTACAATACCAACAATTATAACAACAACTTTCCTTTCTAACTAGGTAGCTTTGTTACACCTACCTCTAATTTAAATTGTATTTTCAATAAGTTTGAGATTATCTTGTTTTTAAAATTATTTTTGGGTCTTAATTGGTGTGCCCAAGAGGCCCACCCCTTGATTTTGTCCCCCGTGACCCCTTCTTCTTTCTTCTCTCTTCTCTCTTTCTCTACGCACTCCATTCTCTCTCTCAAAACTCACTCATCTCTCTCCCTCTCTATCACCGTGAACACCCACACACACAGTGGCAGATCTATTAAGGAACCAAGGTGGTCCCAGGACCACCCAAAGGCTCAGAAAAGTGGCTATAAAAACCTTCAAGGAACACCCAAATCTGGGTTGTGGAGGAGGAGAAGAGCAGCCATGGCTGCCGAGCACCTTCTGCAAAACAGAAGGAGAAAGAAGATGACTTTTTCTTTCAAATTACTTGGCCAAAACGAGACCGTTTTGAGCCAAACCATTAAAAAAAGGACAATATTTAGACACTGACTAGTCACTGTAATGTTTTACTGACCACCAATAAATAAAAGACACATGTCAACCAAAACTCTCTCTAAATCTATAACCAAACAACCAACTCTAACACTGCACCCATAACCAAACAGCCACCCTCTCCTCCTAAGCTTATGTTACTGTCTGCCGCGAATCTCGTCTGCAAAAACCTCTCCTCCGCTAAGCCCTCCCTTCCGCCAAAACATCTTCCGTCGAACCCAGCCTTGCCCACTCATAATCCAACCCTCTCTTTGCCATGGAAGGATGCCTGCACCTACCCATTTATAGGTCGCGACTCACACCACCTTTCTCTCCTTGCTGCCATGGTTGCACGAGGAAAAAAATAGTGGATTTGGTATCATGGTCTGATTCGGGTTTGAGAAGTTAGGACCACCCTATACTAAAATCCTGGATCCGCCACTGCACACACACACACCCACCACCATAACCACCTAGCTATGACACCACCATCACCTCTGGAACTTTCTTCTCTCTCTCCCCCGTCTCGACGAAGCTCCGGGACACCCAGAGAACACCCAAGTCTCCCCCAACGACTCAGCCGAATTTCGAGACAATTTCCTGCCAAACTATGACTAGTTGGACGGCGTGCAAGGTATCAATCTCTTCGACTCGCTAAATACTACAACTTTCCTTTTTATTTCACCCAATTTGGTTAGGTATTGAAGAAGTTATATCCATTTGAATCTTACTTAGTTTCCGAGAGTCTGACTGCTTTCGAGGTTTTTTCCGGCCAAACCATGGCGAGTTAGACATCGTACGAGGTACCATTCTCTTCGGCTCTTCGTGGGCTAAAATTTTCGTTTTTGAATCACTTGATTTCGTTTAGTATTAACAAAGTTATGAGCGTATAAAGTTAGAGACTTTTCGGCCGAATTTCGGCCTTCTTCTTCCTTGGATCCGGCGACCCACCAAAACCCAGGCCCTTTGGGCCTTTCCTGCCAAGCCCAACCCAAAACCCATTTCAATTTTATTATTTATTTTATTTATTATTTTAATGTAAAAAGCCCTTTGGGCCATTCCTTTAAAAAAACACAAGCCTTTAAAGGCTTAAGGCATTCGGGCCGTTTCACCTTAGGCCCTTGGCCTTGGGGCCGGGTCCTTAAACCCCATTCCCTTAAAACTCCTAAACCCAATTCCCTAAAGCCCTAAATCATTTTAGTTTAAAAACCCTAAACCCAAGTATTTACCTTAGGCCTTTTATCAACCTAATTCCCTAACCCATTAGCCTAAACCCATTAACCCTTTATCCTAAACCTAAACCTAAACCACCTAGACCTAAACCGTAACCTATCCAAATCCTTTTTGGGGAATATTCTGTTAGAGAATATTTCATCAGGGAATATTCTAGGAATATTCTATTGACTTTTACAGAATTTATCTGGGATTCTTCTTAGGGTAATTTGACGTTCTGAATCCGTTTCTAACGTCCGTTTTCCCAAATTCAATTGTTATAATAGAGTTTTATTAATTGGACCATTTATGTGCTTAGGGGCAATATTTGTGATGTTTTCGTGATTGCTAGTTTGCGTCGCTCTTTGGCGGCTAAGTACTGTGAAAGGACCCCTTCTAAAAATGCATGTTTTGATAGTAGAAATGCATACATGAAAAGCATGATTTAATAATTATGTTCTATGAAACGCTTTGAGATAACATGTTTACTAAGACTAGATTGAATTACTACTATTTTTCCTATAACCCATGTTCTTATAAAATATCTAATGGATGACGATATGATATTTAGAACATGTTTCGAACACCTCTTTATAGTATAGATGATGGATGACTTTATACTATGAAGTTGCTTTTCACCTCTTTATAGTATAGATGATTGATGACTTTATACTATGAAGTTGTTTTTCAATATATATATGTTCAATGGTTTTGTACTTACCTAGTGGTCATTTCTGCTATGGGACGTTGGGATAGATTCCGGTCTGTCCCGAGCCACGGTTTGGTGTTGGCATAAGGTCTGGAGAGTGTTTCCTTTGACTATTAGCATAGGGACGGGGAGCCGGCATGGGACCTGAAGTGTATTTTCCTCTGACTGTCTGCTTAGAGATGGGGAGCCGGCATGGGGCCTGGGGGTTATCGGACAATTCACTAGTGATTATTATATATACAAGTTATGGTTTGAGACATTGCACGACATGCTAGGTTTCGGAAAACTTATGTTTATCATGATATATATATATATATATATATATATATGTTTTCATAAAACCTGGGAGTTAGTACGTTGATAACTGTTTTACTATTTATATATCAAATTGATCCACTCATGTTTGTTTTGCGCCCCCCTTCAGGGCTTAGAATTGAGGCATACAATCCCGACGTCAAGGCACTTCCGCATCGGCATCTTCGAGTCCTTTTGGTGTGGGACCCATTTTTTTATTCATTCAATTTTATATTATTTTTTTAGTGGTCTAGTTAGTTGTATGCTCTGAACACGTTCCTTAAATGCACATTATTTATTCCCTTATATTTATAAGTTTTATCTATCCCTTGTTTTTAGCTTTTGCACTCAATAAATGGCTTTCGTCACCCTCGGGTGTTGGCCAGCATGTGCCTATCCTGATATTTGGGGAATATCGGGATCGGACCGTGCCAAACTTCCTCTCTAATTCACTCCCTAACAACCTCCTAACAACCAACAATTCTAATTAAATCTTGTTTGTTCTAGTCAGCAATGCCAACACATCACTACAATCATGCTGATTTAGCATAATACACAACATACTTAACATCTTACGTTGTTGATCGCTGTTGTGGTGGTGACAGAGTCCTTAAGCAAGGGGGTTTCTACTCCAAGGAGTAGAAAGCTCCCCTTAACTTGTTATGGGGTTAGCCAGAGAGATTTTTAGTGTGTTGGAAATACTTTACTGGTATGCTAAGTGTTATAATGCAAGTGGTTGAGTATTTGGAAAGAAAAAAAATTCAATCACTTGTATTGCGACATTTGATGTACCATGTTGTGTTTCTGATAAAAAAAAGGTCGTACCCAGTGCACAAGGCTTCCACTTTACGCAGGGTTTGGGAGAGGTGAATGTCGGCTAGCCTTACCCCCATTTATGGAGAGGCTGCTCCCAAGTGTTTCTGATACACTGAAAAATTTTAAATTTCAATCACTTGTATTATAACATTTGATATATCGAATTGTGTTCCCAACACGTCGAAAACTTTATGGTCAGCCAATGGCTTATTTCCATCACATATGGTACAGACAAAGACTGAATAATGGGCGGCCTCTACTGTGTGACTTATTTCCATCACATATGGTACAAACAAAGACTGAATAATGGGCGGCCTCTACTGGGGTCCCAAATCGTGCTTTGAGTCAGTCGTCTCATGGGCTTCCTGGTAAAAGATGAGACTGTACAAAAGACACGATACATGAATGCATGGTTGAAGGATCTGAATTCAGGAGAGATTAGATTTTTCAGTGTGACCAAAATATGAAGTGGTACATCACATTTCACGATAGAAATTGTGAGATATGTGTGTTAAAAAGTTAATAATTGAAAAATAAAATTTCTCACCACTTATATAAAAATACGTGATGTACCACCAGTGTTCTAGTCACAACGAAAAATTTCTCTCAATCCACAATGCTGAAGCTGCTGAACCCAACTTCCCAGTGGTTGCAGCTCAAAAACTGGGAAGTTGAATAGAATATTCAAAGTTGGTGTTAATATATAATTAGCGTACCATCACCAAAAACAAAAACGAGTGTGAAATTTCCACCTAATTGGTTCCACCATTGTGACCCAATGTCTCTTTTTAAGTCAATCTAGAGAGAGAAAGTCGCGCACTCAAGAAAGACGACAAAGCTTTCTTTCCTATCACACACTGCAAATTAAGCTTCAAGTTTTATGCACTTGGAGGAGATTAATTACAGGAGGAAATATGGTGAAAACTATGCAGCTACCCATACCCAAAGAGCTGATGAAGGTATGGGATGTATGGAATCTGAGGGGATGCATTCTCTTGAGCCTTGCTATTCAAGTTTTTCTAACGCTTTCCGCGCCGTTCAGGCAACAATGCAGAAGCATGTTGCTCCTAGGGTTGATCTGGTCGGCGTACTTGCTCTCCGACTGGGTTGCTGCTGTTTCCATTGGGGTAATCTCCAAAAGCCTGTCTGGGACTTGTGACTCTGGACATAATGAAGACCTTTTAGCATTCTGGGCTTCATTTCTTTTGGTGCATCTTGGTGGCCCCGATACGATTACTTCTTTTGCTCTGGAGGACAATGAGTTCTGGCTCAGGCACTTGCTTCAACTCATCCTACAAGTCCTGGCAGCTGCGTATAGTTTCTATTTGACACTTGTCGAAAACAAGCTTTGGATCCCGACGATCCTAGTGTTTGTTGCCGGTACTATCAAGTTTGGGGAGAGAACATGTTGTCTGTACCTTGCAAGCTTGGACCATTTTGGAGAGACTGTACTGCCAAATCCAGAACCAGGTCCTGACTATGAAGAGACCGTCGAGATATTTACTACAATGAGGTCAGTCAAGGTAGACATGCCGTCGCCAACAAGGCCATTTCACATTGGGAAAGGGATTAATCATAGAGAAAACCCCAATGTTGATGGAGTTTCTCAAGAATCTTTAGATGACATGGGGTTATTGCAGGAATCATACCACTTCTTCGAAAGCTTCAAAGGACTCATTGTTGGGTTCCTTCTGAGCTTCAATGATAGGGAGCGCAGTCGATATTTTTTTCTCGAAAGAACTCCCGTCAGTGCTTTTCAACTGATAGAATATGAGCTCAGCTTCATGTATGAGGTTCTCCATACCAAGGTATTTGTGGCGCGACACCAAATTGGCTACTTGCTCCGCTTAATTACCTTCTGTTCTACCATCGGTGCCTTGATGTTGTTCGCTTCAGCCGAAAAAGATGAGTTTAAGAAACATGAGTATGGTAAGTTTGACATTGTTCTTACTTATGCATTGCTTGTTGGAGCCATAGTCCTCGACACACTATCTGTGTTGTTGAAGCTCATTTTCTCTGACTGGACCATCATTGCCTTAAGAAACATCTGGAGCCAATGTTATATCCCTGCATGGATATTGAAAAGACGAAGGTGGTCTGGATCGGTGTCCCAGTATAATATGATAAGGAATTGCCTGGATGAGCGTCCAGAATGCGTGTTCGCTATTGGAGCTTGTGTGCGTGTTAGAGGAATCCTAGACAAAATAAAAGTTTCATTATTTTCTTCCTCTGAGGAATTCACGGATGAGCTCAAGGGCTTCGTGTTCAAGCAGCTGAGGATAAAATCTTTGGATGCAAACAACAGAAGAACCAACATGGAGGCATGCTTACAAAGAGGTGACTGGGCTCTCCAGCGGTCTTCAGGCTACAAGAAACTCAACTGGAGTGTAAAGGAGTATCAGTATGCAGAAAGTGTTCTTCTGTGGCACATTGCAACAGAACTCTGCTTTGCAAAATGCTCTGCAAAACCCTTGGAAGATGCTGACGGAAGACGAAAAATCTGCTTTGCAAAAACTGTGAAAGAACTCTGCTTTGCAAAATGCTTTGCAAAACCCTTGGAAGATGCTGACGGAAGACGAAAAATCTGCAAAATACTTTCGGATTATATGTTTTATCTTCTGGTGATGCAGCACAAGATGATGGCCCCATTCTTGGGAAATTGGCATATAGTCTTTCAGGACACTCGTGCAGAGGCAAAGAGGTTCTTTTCCAAGCACTCAATATCCGATCATCAAAACGCCTGCGACAGGATCACCGCCCTGAGGGCCAAATTCAGATCAGCAGCTGTGAAGGGAAGTAAAAGCAAATCTGTGTTGTTTGATGCATGTTTCCTAGCAGAACAGCTTGAAAATTTGGACGGCGACAAGTGGGAGCTAATGAGCGGAGTGTGGGTGGAATTGTTGTCCTATGCTTCCATCAAATGTAGACCAATTGTACATGCTCAGCAACCAAGTAGGGGTGGAGAACTTCTGACTTTCACTTGGCTACTGATGACTCATCTCGGCTTGGGAACACAATTCTATGAGCTCGAAAACCATGCTGGAAAAATGGTGCTAGTCAAGTGAAATTATACATCAAAGCTTCTTTATCTTTTATTTCTTTCGGAAATTGGGAGGGGATGCTTGTGATGAAATATATTGTATGACTTTATTACAGTTTATTTTCTTGGTATGGCGATCTGTCTGAAATAAAATGAGCTTTTTTCGTGGATTCAGTTCAGATGAAATTTCAAGTTCAGTAGCTCATTTCACAGTTTTAAAAGGTGCTAGTCGTGGCGGGTTAGAGCCCAACGCCTAGATGCTTAGGCGCCTTATACGGTTTTTTTACATTAATTAAATTTATTATATAACACATAAATAAATTTCTACTTATACTTGAAAAAAGAATACATAATTGTATTAGGGTACATAATTTGGAAAATAGAACGATACTAGCAGGAATGCCCGCGCTTTGCTGTGGGTTTTCAAACCATAATCGACAACCTATATGAATAATATCCATATAAAAACTTAATTGAAATTGCTGTAGCAATACAATCGCATTCTTAAATGTGAGCACAAACAATTCCACAAAAGTAACTAACATAGAATCAATTCAAGTATATTAAGAGCACGTTTGCACTCAACAGAGGGGAACCAATCAAAAGGAAATCCGTAGCTCTTCTAACTTTATTGTTTGGCCTAAAGAGAATTTGTGAGCAATAACCCTAAACAAAAAATAAAACAAAATTCACAAATTATCAAAATAAAATTCAGCAACAAATTGCAAATAAAAAGCACGGTTAATAAACAATCAAAATTAAAAGCAGGAAAGAGTGAGAGTTGTGTACCAAGCCAATGTCTGACTCGTCATGGAGAGCTTCAATCATTGATTCTGGCAACTCAGCTGAAAGAGCTTTGAGAGAAAAAATAGGCATTATTGCAACTATCCTGAGAAGTGAATTTCACAACCACAATTGAAATTTCAAAACCCACCACAGAAGCAGCATATGAAAACAACAAGAAAGAATTTTAGTCAAAGTTTTTTTCTGATTATTAGTAATTTAGTATCCAAGAGTAATTTAGTATCCAAGAGGTCGCACTTGATGCGATGGCAAGTGCCTTCGCCCATGAGCGGTAGGTATCGGGTTCGAGACTTGGGAGCAGCCTCTCCATAAATGGGGGTAAGACTAGCCGACATTCACCTCTCCTAGACCCTGCGTAAAGCGGAAGCCTTGTGCACTGGGTACGACCTTATTAGTAATTTAGTATCCTAACCAAAGCAATTTTCAACTTCAACATTCAAAACGAAAACGTACAAAGTTTGTATTAATCACTCAAAGTGATGTTTACATTTTGTACCACTAAAGCACTAGTAATTAACCTTTTCAAGGTCCTCATTAACACTTGAAAACTCTTTGACACATTAAACTGAAAAGTGAAAATAAGTAAATTGCTTCAAAAAATATATTAGGATTAGGTTACCTTCCCAATCACAATCCATTTGCATCTTGCCAAAACTATCAGACTCGTACTTAAAACTTTCGACATTGTATTGCCAAGAGGACCCAATTGGCCTGATTAAAAGGCTCTTCTTTCCCAAAACCAACAAATGACCTAAGAGGAAACTTAAGAGGAAACCCTAATAGTTAGCTAACCAATATAAAATATCTATGAGAGCATTAATGATAGAAAAAATATCTATGACAATTTTAATAAATGCAATGGCAAAGTAAACAGTGAATAACAATTTAAAACAATAAGCTGAAATAGAGTTAGCCCTAAGGGGACCGACAACGCCTGACCTGCAAGCTGCAGAATCGCAAAAGAGAATAGGAGGGGTGGAAGAGTCGTGCGTGAGAGAAGAGGAGTGAAGGAAGATTGGTGGCCCGATGTTTAGTTTTGATTTTGTCGGGAACGGGTGCTCAGAGAGTGGATGGATGGGAGGAAAGAAAATGGAGTGGATGGGAGGAAAGACAATAGGAGACAAGGATGGGTAAGATGACCGAAGCAAGGGTAGAGGTGCCCAATGTTTGGTTTTGATTTTGTCGGGAACGGGTGCGCAGAGAGACTCTGTTTTTCAGGTTTGTTTGCTGTGGGCGGAAACGGAGCTAAAGCATGACTGGCAGCTTTATAAATAAAGAGACAGTCCATTTAAAGTAGCTGAGTGGCAGTGTTGCAAATAAACTGAAATGTGGTCCAAAACACTATTCACATGAATAGTGCCAATTTCACTCCTACTTTAGACTAAAGTAATATGGATTTTAAAATATTAGAACATATTAAAAATATGGCGATAAACATATAATGAGTGTTCATCCAAGTATTTAACAAGTTTCTTACAATTTATTAAAAAAATAAAATACGAAATAAAAGTTATCTATTTTCTGTCCAAATGAGAGTTGCAACTTAAATGGGTGTTTAGGCGGGTTTTGGCGGATTAGGCAAGTGCTTAGGCAAGTCTATAAGTCATTTCTTAATTTTCAAATATCGAATTATTAATCAGAACGATGATCAACCGTTTATCACCTAGACAGAGATTTTTAATACGGTAGTTTTGGTTTAAGAAAACTCACACCGAACTCGTGGAGGGAGACCTTGACTCTTTGACAAGTCTTTGATGCAGCATGCCAAAGTTTACTAGTAATCATTGGGTAAAATTGTCCCTACTGGTGCGCTGTGAAGAACATTCAACGGACCAGATGAGCACTAGGACTACTTACAAAACTCTTTGAGCTCTTGTTTTTTCAATGAACAAGTCTCAACTCGTTCTTTCTCTGATTGTGTTTTCAATTCCTTCTTGATTATCCGTTATCATCCACCATGTCCACACAAGTGCTTTTTACCCCTTCATTCCAGTTACCTGATCAGCCTCTAGCCCTTCTTTCGTACCTGAATTCCGGGCAGGTCACTCCATTCCAATTTTTCAATGAAGTTATCATGCCCATTTTTGTGTATCATGTAAAACATTTTCCAACTGAAATAGATTATGAAAATCAGAAAAGCAGCAGCACCACCAACAGTGAAGAAGACTCTTCCTCTTGTAATCTGCAAACAATACTTCAGAAAATCCAGAGTAATCTCATTTACATAAAAAACGCGTATGGCAGACTGAAGCAATGGGAAGATCATGTCAACCGTGCTATCAAAGATTTAGCTCTTCAAAGCTTAAATGGTGCCTTGAAAGAGAGAGCGGAGACACTCGAAAACAGCAGCAGATCAAATTTTCTTCACAAGCAGCTTAACGAAACTCTCAGCATCACCTCCAGTTTAAAAAAGTTTCTCTCTCACCCTCCTCATTTATCTTCTGAGAGCTTAAAATCCATGGTGCGGGCAGAATTCAACCTTCATCATTCCTTGGCAGAACAGAAAGATGTGAACTTGCAAAACATGACAGAAGAGAGTTCAGCTTTCAAAGAAACTGAGAAAGCCTATGAAGGTCTAGATGTAAAGCAGCGGAGCTGCTTCCTCTGCTTCTCAGTTTTCCCTGAAAATGCTATCATAAAGAAGAAAGTTTTAGTCCATTGGTGGGTTGGTGAGGAGGAGTCTATAGATGAGAAGATGGCAAATGAATTCTTCAAGGAATTTACAGAAAAAGGTCTCATCAAGCCGGAATACAAAAAGCGCAGACCAAGTGCTGACAGCTGCAGTATGGACCCTGCTACTCGTTATGCCGTGATCGAGCTTGCAAAGAGATATGGGTTCTTCAATTTCGATGCGGATCGAAATCCTACCGAAGACTTTACTTGCTCTGGAAGAGCATGCCTGGTAAAAACCGAAGAAGGTTCTTCTATACTCAAATTGCCATGCCATTTTAAACAGGAGAAAGTTCAAAGTATGATCAATGTCAATGAGCCCAATCTTGACTTCAGACCAGACTGGTTCTCGAAGATGAAAAACGTCAAAGTGTTGCAGCTTGGAAGATGGCAGCGCTCTGCCGAACATCTGATTCAGGTAGAGGACAGCAGGTTCTTAAAAGGGTTGAAGAATATGAGACATCTCCGGTACTTGAGTCTTCGAGGAGTCACTGGAATTTCTGAGCTCCCGGCTGCAGTCTGCAAACTCAGCAATCTGAGGATCCTGAACCTCAACGGCTGTCTTCATTTGGAGAAAATTCCTCAAGGGATAGGCTCACTCAAGAACCTGACACACTTAGATATGTACGAGTGCTACTTGATGAGCCACATGCCGAAAGAACTTGCTTCGCTCTCACAGCTCCAAGTGCTTAAGGGGTTTGTGATTGGTGAGCCAAGGGCTGCAGGAGGTGGACGCCAGCCCTGTAAGCTGGCTGATTTGTCAAGCTTGCAACATCTAACAAAGTTGAGTATCCATGTAGACAAAAAGTTCAGCGCTGTGGAAAGAGAGCTGGTTTCTTTGGCAGATTTTGAAAAGCTCCGGTCTTTATCCATATCATGGTCAACACTTTATTGCCAACCTCCAACTCTCCAGAGGAGACTAACCAACAAGTTAGCCAGCCTCCCAAAATTAAAATCAGCAAAATCATTGCCTTCAACAACGCCGCCAGTTTCACGATCACGTCTTGCTCTTTTGGAGAAACTTAACCTCCATTACTTCCCTGGTTCTAAGATTCCTGATTGGTTGACGCAATGGGAATTAAATAACCTAAAGAAGCTCCAAATCAGTGAGGGAGGGCTCTCAGATTTGCGTTACGGAAATCAATGCCGATGGAACGTCAAAATTTTACGCTTGAAGTACTTGGAAGAATTGCAGATGGATTGGCCAAGCCTGCAAGAATTGTTTCCAAAGATGAATTACTTGGAGATATTCGATTGTCCTAAACTCAGTTCCATGCCGTGCGATAATGAGCGTGTGTGGGTACAGGCAGGCTCAAAGCAAGCAGAAGCATCGAACAGCAATCATCATTAATAGAACTACACTTGTATCCTTGTATTGTTCAGCTGCTAGCTAGAGCTAGAGTATGATTAATTCCATAACCAAATTACATGTTTATGTCTCAACAGCCTCTTTTGGTAGCTTAGATGATACTAACTATTTTAGTCGGATAAGATAATTTATCATCGGATAATACTGACTAAATTAGTCGGGAGTTTGATGATTAGACTAAAAAGTTACTATTTAATACTGTGCTTGTAAAAGGTTTTCAATATTGTTATTATTTGTTTGTCCATTGCACCAACAATAATAAAAAAATAAAGGAAGGAAAATGGAAAACCCAGGTTGTCGTCTTCCTTTATTCATATCTTTCCCACCAATAAACCCCATTGATGGACCTTCCAATCCAGTAAACCCCACCTCCTAGTTTCTCATACCACTCTACAAGAAATGGATTAAAAGCTCCAGAACGGCAAAATAAATAAATAAATGTTTCGCTTATGAATTGAACCATTTCCTCCACGAAATCCAGAAAAGCTGCGAATATCTACTTTGCATTTTCAAATCTGCAATGATCCATTCATTGCTTAAGTACACTACAATCCAAGCTCCAAATCCCAAAATTTCCAGGAAACATGCATCCCGATTCAATGAAATCCACTCCAAAATCTAGCAGTCGAAAGTGTAGTGGCCGCAACGGCCCGTAATTACCAAAAAGAAAATCAATGTCAAATCTGATGAAGATTTATACTTTAATTAAACCCTCAACCCAAAAGAGTAAAAAGCTCAGAAGAATATGCAAAAAAAAAAAAAAAAAAAACAAAACAAACAAACAAACAAACAAAAGTTTTGTATTAAAATTGGCATTTGCAATAAAAATACCCAAGTTCTTGGTGATGGATAAACCCAGAAAACACAAACAGCAGATATGTTACACCCACCCCCAGTTATAAAAATATAATTATGAAATTATCCCCAAAATGTTATTAATCTATCATTTTAGTCCTAATTGTATTGCCCAATCAGGATCTAAATAGTTAGATCCTTTTCATTCTCAAGCTGCCACGTGGCAGCACCCCAACCATCCTCACATTCTATCTATGTCCCCAACCCCTCCCGTGACTTCATCATCTTCTTTCTGTCTCTCCCTTCTCTCCCTCTCGGAACCCTCATCTCTCTCCCTCTTTTCACCTAGATTGCACACACACTCACACGTAGAGGCATGCTCGTGCTCGAAGGAGTCACCACCATCATCAATCCCTCATCAGCTCTCTCTCTTTCCCGTGCTGCAAAGACGAAACCCATAAACGAACTCCAGCGAGATTTTCTTATTTCTCCGATTAGGTAAGCCTCGAGTTCTTCCTATTTCATCCCAAAATCATGCGGGAATGTGTTTTAATTGGGTTTATTACGTTGTTGTCGAGGTTTTAGAACGAAATCGGGTCGGGGGAAGGCACACCCAGCTCCGGCGAGGCTGTGGGTGTCGAGGGAATCTCCGATCACCTCCGACCGTTCTACGGAAAAAGGAAGGTATAAAGTTGTTCCTCTCGTCTTGTACATCATTTGGTACCTAGATCGGAGTCTAGGGTTATGGTTTGCAGTCAGTCGGAGCTGGGAAAGCTCCGGCGTTCTCCTCTGATGCACCAGGCATTTCAGGCCGATTTTAAGGCACTCGGGCCTTAGGCCCATGGTGAGCTCAGCCCAAAACCCTAACCCATTTCCTTTTTAATTTTATGTAAATTGTTTTAATAACCCAAAAGGCCTTCGGGCCGTTTTGTTTAGGGCTTGTAGCCCGTTAGACCAACCCAAAACCTTTTTAGGTTTTATTTAATTTTTGTTTTAGAAATTAAGGCCCTTAGGCCATTTTATTTAGGGCCTTAGGCCCGTGTGTATAGAAACCTTTCATTTAAGGCCTTAGGGCCATTTAAAGATTGGGTTTTCAGCCCCTTTCCCAAACCCATTAACCTTTAATCTAAACCCAAAACCCTTAGGGCCCAATCGACCCAACCCAAATCCAAGCCCAATCTGACTCTTTGACCCGTTGACTTTGACTGTTGACTCGGTCAACGGTCAGCGTTGACTCGGTCAACGGTCAGAGTTGACTTTGACCAGTCAACGGTCAACGTTAACATATGGCCTGGAGTTGTGTTTGCTCTGGCTATTAGCATAAAGACGGAGAGCCGGCATGGGGCCTGGGGGTTATCGAACAAATCACTAGTGTTTATTATTTATACAAGTTATGATTTAAGACATTGCACGGTATGCTAGGTTTCGGAAAACCTATGTTTTTCATTATATATGTGTTTTCATAAACCTGGGGGTTAGTATGTTGATAACTGTTTTATTATATTTATATCAAATTGGTCCACTCACGTTTGTTTTGCGCCCCCTTTAGGACCTATGAACGAGAATTATGACTTGAGCTATGAGGCATTTCCCTACCAGTGATTTAGTGTTATATCTTCTCTGTTTCGACATCTATTGTAATATAGCACTTCTCTATCTTAAATTCTGCTTGTACTCTATAATAGACGTATGCTCTGAACTTATGTGTATGACCATAATTTTATTATTTTAGCAATTGAACTTTACTTTGGTGTTATTAGTCCCTATTGCCTGTTTTAGTATATTTCTCAGTTTCTACTTAAATCAAATGGCTTTCGTCACCTATCGGGTTCGGCCAGCACGTAACTATCCCGATGTCCCGAGGACATCGGGATTAGGGTGTGTCAAGATAAATTAGAATTAATCCATCAAGAAGAAGAAGAAGGCGAAGAAAATCTTGGTTGGAGAAGAAGACAACGAAGAAAATCTTGGTTGGAGAAGAAGACGACGAAGAAAAGCTTTGGCCAGAGAATAATAAGATTGAACATAGCATGCGTTTTATGCAGGGAAGGAGCCAGAAATTTCTTCTAATAGGGGCAACCGAAAACAACTAAGAAAATTTTGTTATAGTATGATTATACGCAATATGATATTAAGGATGGTTTCAAATGATAATGTATCACAATTCCAATGTTACAAAAATTTCAATATAGTAGTGAAAAGTGGCAAAGTGATGAGAATAATATAAGTACATGATAGGCGAGAGAGGGTTTTTTCCGTTTGAATGACAGAACAAGAGCATTATTGCTCATATAATATTTGATATGAAGTGTAAGTAGAATAAATGTACGTTGGATATTAGATACATATATTTTCTTCAAAGATAATATGTGTATTGTATATTATATAATTGTAGTCGGCAACTAAACAAACGAATTACTTGAGTGGGGGCATCTGCTCCTAGTTATCCTTCATTGGCTCCGTCCATGGTTTTATGGAGCTGACTAATTATACAGACACTTTTGAGTGGACTATTTAGTGGTTGTGAAACGTATTATTTAGGTGGGGCCAGATTATTAGTTTGGTGATTATTTATCTGATTAGGGCACCAAACAACTAGCTTCGTACAATTAGTCTTATTAGGTTCTTTATATGGTGTGCCAAACGAGGCCAAAGTGTAGTTTTATTATATCGAGTCTAAATAGCTCATTTTGTAACCAGATACACTTAGTTTTACCTTATAAGATATCATATAGTTGAAGGGGGATGATCCATTCCACCACTTTTTTTACACAATTTTTTATGCACGTTGTTGATGCACAAAATCAGTGAAGACTTTGGTACAACAGAAAGTGTTAAGTTTGTGACCTTCGCTAGATTGTTCCGGTCACTAGTGTGGATAAGTATGTAAATGGATAGGGACAGGAAGGCAAACACAAGATGTACATGGTTCACCCAGATTGGCTATGTCCACGGAGTAGAGGAGTTTTCATTAATTATGAAGGGTTTACACAAGTACATAGGTTCAAACTCTCCTTTAGTGAGTACTAGTGAATGATTTAGTACAAATGGCATTAGGAAATATTGTGGGAGAATGATCTCTTTTTATAGAAGAGTTTCTAGCTTTGTTCTGATATTGACACGTGTCTTTGTTGTGATTAGCTTTTGATGTTGACACGTGTCGCGCTGTGATTGGCTTATGATGTCGACACGTGTCGCATTGTGATTGGCCTCTTGGTTGGATGGAAACTCTTCTGGGTCCTTGACGGTATAACGTTGACCGGTGCTCAGTAGTTTCGGGATTGGTCAAGTATGGTACAAACAGTGCTCCCCTAAGTTCCCGAGTAAGGGAAGCTCCTCTGTTGAGGACTTGTAAGATCCAAGCCGCTGAGTAATCACGAAACTTCTAAGTACCGAAGTGTGGTATCGTCTTCACTTGCCTTATCTGTCTTATAGGTAGATGTGGCATTTTCTCTGGAAGTACTCTTCCTTCATCCAGGGGTGGTATCTTTAACCAGTGGAGAATCACAAGGTAATGTATCAATTTCACTTCGCTAGATTGATGCACAAAATGTTGATGCACAAAATCAGTGAGGACTTTGGTACAACAAAAAGTGTTAAGTTTGTGACCTTCGCTAGATTGCTCCGGTCACTAGTGTGGATAAGTATGTAAATGGATAGGGACATGAAAGCAAACACAAGATGTACGTGGTTCACCCAGATTGGCTACGTCCACGAAGTAGAGGAGTTCTCATTAATTATGAAGGGTTTACACAAGTACATACGTTCAAGCTCTCCTTTAGTGAGTACTGGTGAATGATTTAGTACAAATGACATTAGGAAATATTGTCGGAGAATGATCTCCTTTTATAGAAGAGTTTCTAGCTTTGTTATGATATTGACACGTATCGTGTTGTGATTGGCTTCTGATGTTGACACGTGTCGCGCTGTGATTGGCTTCTGATGTCAACATGTGTCGCATTGTGATTGACCTCCTGGTTGGAGGGAAACTCTTCTGGGTCCTTGACGGTATAACGTTGACCGGTGCTCAGTAGTTTCGGGATTGATCAAGTATGGTACAAACACATGTTTTTATAAGTCATTATGTAATGTATTTCAATTATTCGAGTTGTCTATTTTTTGGGTCTTACCTCAAAAGTCATGTCTACCAAAATCACCCAAATCCGAAAGCATATGACCATTTGATT